GGCAGGATGAAAAGGAAACTTAGTAGATAGCACGGTAAGTAAATATGGGATCTAATTAATCTAAACAGCACTTTCAATGCGAAGACGATGATCATCCAAACTGAAAAGATGAGGAAAGCGACCTACAACTGAAGAGGGCGCGGAGTAGCGCTGGGTTCTTTTGTGCACCGTGTTGGCATGGCAACTTACAGACGGGTCTTGAAAACTGAGAGCTCCTGTTCTCCCAGGGCCCTTTCGGTGGGTGGATCCAAACTCAAGGGTCCTGGCAGAGCAGGGAAGAGCGACCAGGAAAGCCGCGTGGAAAGGGCAGGAGTGGGGAGGAGGAGAGGGGAAACCCCGCCGGAGGTCTCCACAGTCCAGTAAAAACATGGCACCTTTCTGTTTGGGGAGCTAAAAGAGGGTGAGAGGGTTCTCTGGAAATGGCAAGTGCAAAGGAACGCACACCGCTGGCCACACGCGCGCTCAAGCCGGTGCGCCCAGCGCGCACACGCCACAGCGGGAGTCAGTTGTGTTGATTGATGCCTCCGGTAAAGTGCTGATGTCGGGAGGGGCGGGTGGGGTGTGGTGCTGTCATACGGGGAACGCAGTGTCCATCTAGTCCAAAGCCAGCCCCCTCCATACCGTCCTACAGAGGCCCGTGCCTGGCCTCGTACTTGGCCAGAATGTTCTTGCACTTGCCCAGCTCCTTGCGCAAGTCGGCCACCTCCTGGCGCAGGGCCGAGTTCTCCTTCTCCAGGAAGGACGCGCGGATGGCGATCTGGTTCTCCTTCAGCCGCCGCGCGTCGCGGGAGCGCTTGGCTGCCATGTTGTTCTTTCTGCGCCTTGCCCAGTACTTGTCATCCTGCTCGGTAGGTGCAGAAGGAAAAGGAAACAAGATATTAGATTTCGGCAGAGCTGAGGGCCCGCCGGGCCGCTGGCAGGTCTTGGGGTTGCGCCCAGGCACCAGCCCAGGAGTCTTAACCTGCGGCTCCTTCCTTGACAGTCTCAGCAACCCTGAGTGGAGTCCGTGGACCATGGCTCCCTTCCCGGAGCAGGGACCGGCCTGTCACCACACGCTCCTACCCTCTGCCCAGCAGAGCATGTGCCCCAGGAGGAGAGGTCGGAGGCTGAGCGAAAGCACACCCTAAATGGCATTCCAGATTTCTCCACTCTTTTTGCTGAAATTGTTATTTTTCGAACCCTTCTCTTCCATGGGCACTCACATGCTTTTTAAAAAATATATGTTTTTATTGATTTCAGAGAGGAAGGGAGAGGGGAAAGAAAAGAGAGAGAGAGAGAGAGAGAGAGAGAGAGAGAGAAAAAGAAAGAAACATCTATGATGAGAGAATCATAGATGGGCTGTCTCCTGCACACCCCCTACTGGGATGGAGCCCACAACCCAGGAATGTGCCCTAACCAGGAATCTAACCATGACTTCCTGGCTCATAGGTCAAGGCTCAACCACTGAGCCACTCTGGCCCGGCCTCATAAGCTTTTAGATTTAGGGTTGATACAATATTGCTGGAAGGCAACTGGGCAATATCTGTCAACTACTTCAATGCATGCACCACTGATCCAGCTACCCCACCTCTAACGTCTCCTCCTGCAGCAACCTTCCTGCGTGTGCACATAGACACAGGCACCGTGTTTACTGTGGCACCGTTTGCAATAGGAAAGGAGTGGGGAGAGGAACCTAATTATTGGTAAGAGATTTGATAACCACATAATGATGGCGAATACTCTGAAGCTATTAAAAATGATAATCCAGTCAAACCAGAAAGATGTCCATGATATACCATGATGTGGGTGGAAACAACAGTAATCTGTAGATAAATGTGTGTGGCCTCATCCCACTCTGGTTAAAAAAAAAATCACAGTATTACATATCCGTAGAAAGAGGCCCAGAGTGACTGATGCCAAGCTGTGAAAAATGATGCCTTCAGAGGAGGATTCAAGGGAGAGGTCCAAGGAGAAAGGTGGGATCTTTAACTTCTTAGTTTATATCCTTCTGAACTGTTGGCATATGACATAATGGGCATGCACATTTTGGCAATTAAAACCAGAAATTGAGAAAAACCCACCAAACTTCTACCTGCCACATCAACATACTCCTAGTGGTGGCTAGCATTTAAATAATTGACTCTGATTTCCTGTTTCACGGTTCTCTGCGCATTAATTAGCCTGAGTAATGTTTAACTGTGGTCAACAAGAAAGCGGTCCCTTCTTCCCCCTTCTCCCTCCCGGCTCCTCCTGCCAGAAGAAAGGAAAACACTCCTGGGAAGACTAACACTCGTGGCAAGCCTTCTTTCAGACCTTCCTAACTGATCTATGGTGCCACCTGGTGCATTTTGCCACTCCCCCTGCCCCCGCCCCTCTTTTCAACAACTGGCAAGAGCAAATCGCTCTGGATCCTGGCAAGCCCAGTACCTGCAGTTACATGCCACCCAGAGTAAGTGGGTGAGGCCAGTTCTCACCCTCCCCCAGGATTCCAAGGGGCAGTTGGCACTGGACGAGGTCACATGGGTTGGGGCCAAGGCTGTAAGCCAGGTCCAAGGTCAGTGGCCCGCCCCCATACCTGCCCCTTACCCTCAGCAGACATCCGCCCTAATCAAGGACAGAAGGTGTGAGACGGACAGCATGTGCAGGCACCTCTGTGGCTTTCACAAGCTGGAATTTTATTTACAAAGCGCTCTCAGCTTTCTATATATTTCATGATGATATGTAACAAACTAGGAAAACAAAAGACCTTCCTACTGGCTGCTACCAGAACTGTCCTTAGAGAGGAGTTAGCTTGGGCAGGTGTGCAACGGCTGTTGGTGGGATTTGTTATTTTGCTTCCGAAAGGGAGCAGGGGGCTGGAGGAAGCGGAGGGCCACGCCAGTGGATGAGAGAGGCTGGGAGGAGCTGGGGGAGTGAAAGGTTTCCCAGGGCTGAATGGGCCCAAGTGTAGCCTCTGGTATAGCCCCAAGTTGTTTGTGTTTCTTTGATGTAAACCCCAATTCCCCCCCCCCCGCACCCCCCTTCCCAATGGTGGTGTCAGGAGTCCTGCCAGCCTCCTCCAATGCTCCTTGGGGGGGGGGTTTCCCAAGGCCATTTGAAAAAGGGGCTGACTTAGGATGTGTCCGAACCTGCACCCAGGGCAACAGTGCTGCCCACGAGCTGCAGAAGGACGTGAGACTCACCCCCTGGGATACTGTAGAAGCTGTGTGTGTTGGGGGGACAGATGGGGTGTAGGCCATGGACTTGGTTTGTGACCACATCATAAGGCCCAGGGAGCCACCAGTTCACTCAACCAACTTCTCCGTCTCTTGGAGCTCTCACCCCTGAGGCGGTTACACCCCCAGCCTCCCCTGTCCACACCTGGAGATGAGTTAGCAAAGGCGAGGAGTGGGGACAGGAATGGAGGGAGGATGCAGAAGGCAGGGAGGATGCAGGGCTGTCCTGGAGGAGAAAAGCCAGGCTGCCGCCCTCTGTATTGCAGGAGACTGAGGGGCTGATACATTTAGCACCACATCCCCTGTCCCCTTCTCCTCCGCCCCCAGGGGCAGATGCCACCTGGCTGCCCAGTCACCCCCACCCAGCAAGGACCGAGCCCTCAGTCCTCTCCCATCATCTTCCTGATGCCTCCTCCTTCAACCAGGCCAGCATCCCTTCTCACCGGACTAGAAGTGCCTGGAGGGTAAGAAACAATGCTAGGACCAATTCACCTCCGAATCCCCAGCCCCTGCCACAGGGCTTGGCGCACACTAGCATCACAGGCCCAGGGAGTCACCAGTTCACTCAGCCAACTTCTCTGTCTCAAGTGAAATATGTGTCAAGTGAATGAATGGATGCTGCAACGTACGAAGATATCAAAGTGATCAGAGTCTCAGCTGGGAGTCCCCGTGTGCCACCCCTTCACCCTCCCAGGGGACGCATGCCGACCCAACGCATGGCTCAAGGGAGGAAGCGCGGGCAGCGGTGGGGAAGGCCGGTTCGCTCAGTGGGTCTGCTCATCCAGTGCTGGGGCCACAGCCGGGTCTCCCACCCACCCAAGCTCAGAGCGTCCCGCTTCCCACGAGCGCATGGTCTGAGGCCCGAGGCTTCCTCCCAACGGGAGAAATCCAAGGGCACGGGCAGGAGGATGTCCCCGCCCGCTCCCACCTGCCGCGGGAAAAGGTCAGGCCTGGCTCTGACAACAGTGAGATGCAGAATCCCAGCCCAGAAGGTTTCCACGTGGTCTCTCTGTTGCCAAGGTTACCTGGGATGTTAGGTAGGCTTGCCCTCTGCTTGACCTTGTAAATTTGGAGACCCTACGAAGGTCTGGCTGGGAGCTACGTCTATTACTCGGCAGCATCCTTTCAAACTACCTTCCATTCAAAAGGAAATCCACGCAGCACGGGTTCCTGGGTTTAGTATAAGAGATGAGCTCTGAAACACAGCCGGACGGCTAGGCGCACAAGATGAGAGAAACCATCCAGTCCAAAGAAGATATCTACTCGCCCAAGGACCTAACCCGATGGTGCCCCTTCACACCCCGTCGTAGGCTAACCAGCAATTCCCTGGCCAGGTTAGATGTTCTGGTGTTTTACTATGCACTTTCCTCTTCTGATTCTCAGGGGGACAGCTACTGGTCTGCCCCCCAGGAGCCCCTGTCAGGGCAACGTGCTACAGTGACCTGTTTGGAAGCTAGAAGACTCGAGGACCAGGCTAGGCCTTCCTCTACCTCAGTGGTTCTCAACCTTCTGGCCCTTTAAATACAGTTCCTCATGTTGTGACCCAACCATAAAATTATTTTCGTTGCTACTTCATAACTGCAATGTTGCTACTGTTATGAATCGTAATGTAAATATCTGATATGCAGGATGGTCTTAGGCGACCCCTGTGAAAGGGTCGTTCGACCGCCAAAGGGGTCGCGACCCACAGGTTGAGAACCGCTGCTCTACCTAGCAGTGAGCAATGCTCACCTATCTCACTTTCTGCCTCTCCATTTCTTCAACTACAAAAGGGTAACTTGGTCTAGTGAATCTCCAAGGTCTGCTCAGCCCTGACAATTCTGCATCCCTCCAGGTACGGAGATGACGGCAGTGATTCAAATCTGCCAGACACTTCCCCTCCAATGCTCTTTCTGGATGGAAAAGTAGAGGTAACGAGTCTAAGCCAGTCCCAGGACAACGCCCCAAACTCCCATTTCCCGGCCAAGGAGCCACACTTCATCTGAACCGTACTGAGGCCCGAGAGATGGGGGTCAGACATTAGGAAAGGGTTAATGAATTATGCTTGGTGCCAATACCTTGAATGTAGATAATCATTTCTTCATTGTCCATACGCTTGGAATGAAGCATAAACACACAAGTCTAAGCAACAGCTAATCAAAAGTGGTTCTAATTTAATGCCAGTGGACATGCAACATTTTAAAGAATTCCCTCCCTAAGGTTCATTAAATGTGTCAGAATAATTTTAAGTTGCATCTGACTTCCCAAGATAAACCTATGTTCCTTTATAAATAATGTGCCCCTTCAACACAGCAGAGAAAAACCAACTTGGAATTAACCTTTTGTTGAGATATTCAAGTGATCGTTATTTGAGGTCCAGAGAGAACATTACTAAGAAGTAGTGTCAGGGAACCCACCAGCTTCTTTAACAAAATCCCGCCCTGGTCACCCGAGGTTGGCCGTGTGGAGAGGGGTCCCGTCTCCAGCTGTTGTTCCCCGAGGCCTTCCGGGAAAGGACAGCAATTAGTTATCAATCAATCAATCCCCACAGGGAATTTCCCTTGGAAGACTGGGCGGCCAAGATGCCCTTCCCCAATGATTTTCTCTCTTTCCAACCTTGAGAGGTTATAGTTTGATTTTATTGGCCTTTCATGTGTTTCCTTGCAGACTGCCTCCTTCATGGGCTGCAAATATCTCCAACGTTTTATCGCTCCTCTTTCTTTCTGTGCATGACCGAGACATGAAAGGCATGTTTCAGAAGACACCCAGCGAGGAAGCAACTTGCTGAGAGTCACATGCCAAGAAAGAGGATCAGAAACCAAGAGTCCTTTGTTCACCAGCTTGTGTGGTCTTCCCAGGGTCACCCTTTTAATCCGACTCTTGAGCCTCCCACTCTCTACCTGCCCACGGCCTGGTTACCAGTTCCAATTTACCTTCAGATCCTCAGGGATGAAGACTTTGCGAGCTTTCTTAATCATGGGCTGCGGCTTCAGTTCTTCCTCGGAGAACTTGCGTTTGCGAGGGTCAAACATTTCCTGGCCAGGGATGCTGGACAGGGCGAGGTCTGCCGGGTCCGGCTCATAACCCACCGGGACCTGGATGGTGTCGGGATCGATGGGACTCGGTGTATTGCGGTTCGCCGGCAACAGCTGACCTGGAACAACACGGGAGTTTCAATTCATCAACACCCTAGGGCAGCGGTTCTCAACCTGTGGGTCGAGACCCCTTTGGTGGTTGACCGACCCTTTCACAGGGGTCGCCTAAGACCATCCTGCATATCAGATATTTACATTACGATTCATAACAGTAGCAACATTACAGTTATGAAGTAGCAATGAAAATAATTTTATGGTTGGGTCACAACATGAGGAACTGTATTTAAAGGACCACAAGGTTGAGAACCACTGCCCTAGGGAGACCCACTAGACACAGCTTGGTGATGCTTCAAGTGAGTGACAAGTCTGCATGTTACTGATATCCGACCCTAATCCTGTTCATCTTATTCATCCCCACTGTGTTCCTGGGAGCACTACCGAGCAGGACTTTACTCAGATTACGCACAACCAAGACCCACAAACACATGGTCACAAACTAAATTAAAAAATACCTGTGTTCAGCCCAGCCAGCATTGCTTAGGGGTTGGCTGTCGACTTATGAACCAGGAGGTCAGGGTTCGATACCCGGTCAGGGCATATGCCCAGGTTGTGGGCCGGATCCCCAGTAGAGGGCTTGCAGGAGGCAGGCAATCAATGATTCTCTCATCATTGATGTTTCTATCTCTCTCTCCCTCTCCCTTCCTCTCTGATATCAATAAAAATATATTAAAAAACAAACAAACACCTGTGTTCATTCTTTTCTGCAACACATCTATGGACCAGCTCCATGCCAGGTGCTACAGGTACAATGGCTAGAAATATATGACTGTTACCTTCAAGGTGTTTTCCAGGCAAATCAGGGAATCAGTCCAATAACTAGCCAGTGAGGACACAGTGACGGTGCCCGAATGGATGCCAACCTCACGTGCGTCCAGAGTGTGGGCAGCAGTGCGTGGGCAGCAGTGCATAACAGGGAGGTTAGGGAACGTTTCCTAGAGATGACGCCTGTGTGAGCCTCTTAGACCTTGGCTGTTGCACAGACACGCTATGACTACCGTATCTCTTCCATAACGCTTTCCATATACCACACACATCCCCCATGTTAGTGTAAAGGAAGAGAACTCCTTTTTTCTTCTCAAAGGTTCAGTATATTTCCTCAATCACTCTCCAACGGACGGGTTCTTAGGTATGTGAGCACTTCTGTAAAAAAGATTCCACGAAATGGCACTGCTCATGCAACGGGCATGTGCGTCTTGTGTTGCCAAACGTTCTGCTAAACTGTCACATCTATTTACACTTGCACCAACACTTATGAGAATGCACTTCCTCGGAATTAAATATTCATTTTCTAAATGTTCCCAATCTGATACACATCCAGACACCAGCTCGAATGCCACCTCCTCGGCTCCCCGGCTCCCCTCCACCGTCCCGTTTCATTTCCTTACAATACTTGTCTCCACCCAAAATCATCTTTCGTGTCTGACGTCTGTTGACCACCTCCCTCCGCTCACACGGAAGCTCCACGGGATGGGGACCTCGTCTCGTTGGCGGGGGCACCCAGTCCTGAGGTAGAGCACACACGGGGAGGAAGCTCCGTGCAAACGATGGGGTCACCGGAAAGAAACACTCCCAGGTCCCAACGAGGACACTTGTCGGAAACAGGGACTTTTTTTCTTTTTATTTATTATATTTTGCAAATTATCTATCATAAGTATCTTTTACTTTAAAAATCAGAAAAAAACCCATGATTTTCAAAAAATGGACTTTGCTTACTTTGCACGTAATACGCTCGGGAGGCTAGAGAGAGAAGGCTCAGAAAGGAAGAGGGGGAGGCCAGGAGCAGGAGGAGACCAGAGGGGGCAGTGGGCTGGAGGAAGGAGAGAAAGAGAGAGAAAGGAATTGAGAAACCGAAGAACCACCAGAATGAAAGAAGGGAAGGAAGGCGTGAGGAAAGAAGGAAGAAAGGAAAGAAGGACATAAGGGGGAAATAAAGAGAAAGACAGAGGGTGAGAAAGAAAACACTCAGGCACAGGTTAAAGGAGGAGTCCCCTAAACCCCAGCAGCTGGGGATCCGTCCAGACGCCCCTACTTTCCAAGTGTCTGAGCCTCACATGCTGCTGCGCTGACATAAAGGCAACAACGAATCACACACACACACACACACACACACACACACACACACACACACACACACACCTCTTCTTTGCGCCAGCCTCAGACGGTGCCCAGTGGGTGCTGTCCAGGACTCCAGCACAAACCACTGAACGGCCTGCTGTAAAGATCGCTTTGGTCTGAGCGGCCCTTTTCCAACACCTCTCTCCGAGCAGTAACCGCTGTCAACAGAAACACGGGTAAAACTATACGCCAGTTCAATCCAGTATGCAAGCAATGCAAGGGGTCCATCTGTTACCCTTTACTGAGGGGTGAACGTGTGAAGTCCCCGGGTGGAATCACCCTGAGTCACAGCCATAGTATCTGGGTGGAGCCCTGGCCTCGCCAGCCGATGTATTACTTCATTTAATCCCCACCACAGCCCTAGGAAGGTGGAATCATTGGTATTTCCATTTTCCAGACATGGAAATAAAGAATAGGAATAGTATAAGACAAGTTCAGAAATAATAATTTGCCTGGGACTGCCCAGCTGGCAGAAGAAGCAGGGACTAACCTCACCATCTTTCTGACTCCAAAACTCAAGCTCTTTTCTTTAAAAGTAATATATTTTTATTTATTTTAGAGAGGAAGGGAGAGGGAGAGGAAGAGAGAAACATCAACGGTGAGAGAAAATCATTGATCTGCTGCCTCCTGCCCACCCCACACATGGCCGCAACCCGGCCATGTGCCCTGACCGGGAATCAAACCGTGACCTCCTGGTTCATAGGTCAATGCTCAACCACTGAGCCTTGCTGGTTGGGATAAAATGCAAGTTCTCAATCATGTAATGGCCTGAGGGAAGCAATGGACTTGGTGCACCCAAGTGAGTCCTGGTGGGGGCCTGGGCAGGCGCCTAACTAGACCATTGCACTGAACCCTCAGTCCACACTGCAGGGGGGTAGGTGCCCCCACTTTCTGCACAAGGAAATGGGGGTGGGGCCAGAAAGCCAGAAGGTCAGGTGCAGCCCCGTCTCGGTCCATTCCACCCACAGCCCATGCTCTTTCCCATCCACTTCACTCCCCTTAAAGGGGCAGGAGAGGAAGAAAGGGGAGGACCCTGCAGGCCCCTCCTCTCTAGATCCACATGTTCCTGGGCAGCAGGTGGTCCCCCCCAAAAGGCAGGAATAGCCTCATGGTCAAGAGCCCCCAGGAAGTTATAGGCAACCAGCACCCCATTCCCTTTTCCTCTCTTCCTTCTTTCTTTTTTTAAAAATATATTTTTATTGATTTCAGAGAGGAAGGGAGAGGGAGAGAGAGAAACATCAATGATGAGAGAGAATCATTGATCAGCTGCCTCCTGCACGCCCCCTACTGGGGACTGAGCCTGCAACCCAACATGTGCCCTTAAAAAGCCTCTGATGGCTGAGACCTGCCTCTTGTGGGAGGGGGAGGGGGATAGTCTCTCAGGGGGCTATGAAGCTGGCTTCCAAGGGCAGGGCACAGGGAGGCATGTCTTACATTATCAGTATTTCAAGGAACGCTTGCTTGGCCCGTTCGAGTGAAGAAAGGCATTTGGGACTCTGTGCTGAGGTTCTGCTCTGGCCTTCGTCCCTCCACTTTGACCTGCCCTGGGACGCACGGCTCATCAGCAGGTGCAGACAGATGTGGACTCATCGTGGCTCTGCCCTTAAACAGCTCTGTGGCCCAGGGCCTGTCGCTCCAGCACGGGGAGTCCTGTTCCCTCGTCTGTCAAGTGGGGAAATGATATCATCTCACAGGGCCAGGTGGGATGGACAGTACGTGGGAGGGCCCCTCCAGGGCTGTGGGGGCACACCTCCCCTCACACACTCCCCTGGCTCCCACTCTCCTCCACCTGCAGCCCGAGTGAGGCCTGTGACGTCACCCGTGTGACCCCGTGTCCAGGACAAGCCCTCTGCCCTGGGACTGTGCAGGTGCCCATGGTGCCCAGACGTGACTCAGCAGCTCCCGCCTTGGCAGGCGCCGGGGCTGGCTTAACCAGCCTCTCATTCCGAGCGCATTTATCATCACGCTCCAGGCCAGCAGCGTGTCAGCAGGAAACCCACCTCCTGGAATTGAGAGGTGAGACCAGAGGAGCTCAAACCATAGAGGTTTGGAGTCAGGTACACAGGATGCAGCAGATGTTCCAGCTGTGGTCAGAGCTCGCGTGGGCCCTGAGTTCTCACCATGCCCCCAGACAGCCCCCTCTCCCCGTCCCCTTGCCCCGTAGCGGCCCCAGCACCTCAGGGCACAGAGAAGTAGCAGATGGGCCAGAAATGAACACCCAGTGCCTGAGACTATGGCCTGCATGAGATACAGTTCAGATCTTGCAACACTGGCCCCCTGAGGTGGGTATGGAGGGTTGTGAGTGGGAAACAAGAGGCGATGTCCTTCACACACACACACACACACACACACACCCGCAGGTACGGAACTGCAGCGGGAGAATGCAGGCCTCGTTTCCTTGTACCGCAGGGAATGCGTGGTGAGGGGAAGGCCTGGGAAACAGACGGTCACGTCCCAGCCAGCTGCCCACTGGCTCCGAGTGTTCGCATTCCTCTGTGCCTCGGCGGTCCTGAAAGCATAGAGGCCCAGTCCCTCCCTAGGCTGCCCTGGCGACAGTGGCTGTGGGAGCCAGTGACCATTTCAAGCCTCCCTTGTCCACACACCGGAGGCCAAGCCACAGGAGATGTTTGGAGGTTCAAGTGGAGGCTCCAGTCCAGCGTGTGTCCGAGGCCGTCCTCAGAGCCCCTGGGGTGTGGGCACAGTCACCCCGCAGAGGAGCAGGGCGGGGGGCTGCTGCTTTCATGTCCATGCTCACTTGGCCCTGGGTGGACTATGTGCCCCCTACCGGCCACCTCACTCTGCCCTCCGACGTCCCTAGAAGCAGGCCAATGGGTACCCCTTGCCTATGGCGAAACTGAGCCACTGAGCAATTCACTGGGCGTCC